ACTAAAAAGAGACTTTTTTTAAAGTAAATGAACTAAAATGGAGCTTTTCATTAAAGTTGAAGAATCAAAATAGGATTTTAACCTATTCACATCAAGAAATGAAATCAAACTGGTGGATGTGGTCGTTGATTTTTGGCCAAAATTTTATAATTTTGTTTGCAACAAAAGACAAGTATTTACTTTGAATATATATTTTTAAATTGCTTTCTCAAGATTGCTACTTTTTTAACATATTCAAAACATGAAAAAAAGGAATATATCTTTTTTAATATGTCTTCATCAATAATCTCTTCTTCCATATGAAATAAGTCAAAATATTTACAAATTCATACTCAAGCAATAAATGAATCCTTCAATAGCTAGGTCTTGAAAGAATTGTAATTTTTTTTTTTTTTGGATGATCATCTCTCTTCCAAACAATTCCATGATTCCAATGAATCATTTATCATCAAATGTTCATCTTTTAATTCTTTTTGGACTTCATATTGAAGATGTATCATTTTGTCATAATCCTTCAAGGATGCCCCTTTTTTTTCTCTTCAAAAATATTTTGTTTTTAAAGGATATGTTATTTCCTTCCATAATTGAATATTCAAGATTCATTGTAAGTAAATGAATTTTCACATCAAGAATTCATGACAAAAGTTGTAGCCCAAATTACCAAGGACAATGAATTCAAATCTTGTGATGAGTGTAAAATAAACTATAAACAAAAAAAAATTGTTATAACACCATAAAATATTCAAACTAGACATTAGAAATTGAAAGACAAAATTTTGTCTCAAAATCTTACCTTAAATATTTACCTTTATTTAGATCTTTACTTCAATTGGTTTTGTCACCTCAAATGGGATTTATGAAGAGTAATTCATTTAGAGAGAACTCATGTTGATAATGTGTTGTAAATTTTTGTTTTTAAAAAGGGTAATGGAATAATGTGAAATAGGAAAGCAAAAGGAAGGCAAAGATATCATAAAAGAGATTGTTATTTTTATTCATTCTTCCATTCATGTCTTTCCATATAACAACAAGCCCTATGCATAGGGTAATAGAGTAGTAAAAGTTAGAAGAGTTACAATACAAGTGCTAATCACCTACTAAATAAAAATAAAACACCATGTAAATAATTGAGAAAGTGGGTGTTGATGGCAATTGTAAATGCATGAGATTATGAGGTATTAAACATTATTATAATTGTATGGAGGTAACGAGAGTTATACTATTTCTTTTTTTTTTCTTTTTTTTTTTCTTTTTTTTGAACATAGGGGAATTTTGGGGGAGGGGGGATTAGAACCAAGGTCATAGCCTTGGAATATACACACCCTATCCACTGCATCAAGTGCTGCGGGTGTGTGAGAGTTATACTATTTCTTGGTGCATAAATATTATGAAAAGTGACGAAGTGGAAGATGAAGAAGGTGAAACATTAGTAAGCTAATTGATTCATAATAGTCCTATATTTTAATGATAATTTTTAAAATTAAACATTTTTTTATTAACATTAATGTTAAAAAATAAAAGTTCTCCAAACAAAAAATAATTCAATGAGAAGTGACAAAAAGGGTAAATATAATTTAGAAACCATTAAAGTGTTTTTTCAAAAAAGAGTTTTGGACTAGTCTTTTTGGTAATAGTTTAATATATTTATCGGGTTTTTAATATCTAAACTTAATAATAAAAAA